AACTCGACGACGCCGATGGGCTCGGCGAGGGCGGAGTAAGCGTAGCCGAAGGTGAAGTTCAAGAGAACCAGTGTCAGCAACGACATAGGTTTCAATAAAGGATCCAAAAATTACAGGGATGGGTCTCATCTTTGTCTTCGGCAACGACCTTGACGCTACGACGAAATCAGACAGTTAAAGGCGACGGCTTTCTAGGTGGTTATGGCAGCAACGGTGGGTTTGGTGGGAGAGGGCGTGGCTTTTTTGGTAAGAGAAATGTGCAGGGCATGGAATAGAACGCGTATGGGAGAGATCCGGCAGAGAGATGGACAGGTTACCGGAGAAGAACTTAGCAGAGAGAAAATCAAGTCGCTGACAACGATAAGACTAAGGGTCAAACAGGGGCCAGATAACAGAACGGTGGGTAAGGTCGGAGGTGAAGCGGTGGGATTGAATGGCGACTGGCGAACAAGGATCTCTACGACACGGATGATGGCGGCTGTGGATGGCTCGGATGAGGGTGATAGTGGAGATGAACAGCGGCCAAGAATTACCATCAAACATGCCGTCCAACACAAACAAGCTGCTTTCAATCTTCAGCGCTGATCTGAAGAGGAAGGCCACGACGGTGAGGAGAGACCCGGTGGCGAAAATTGATGCCTGCGCTGGTTTTGGGTCTACGACTTGGAGGTAGTGACTTAGATGTAGTGAGAAAAAGCGAACATTACGAGGAATACAGCTGTACAAAAGGACTAAATTCTATTGGCTTGTGATGCCATGTTAGCAAAGTGACGTGGAACCTTCGTTGCTGCTAATAATTTCTCCTTTATAAGATATTCAATCGTCAAGTACTAACTTGACCGTCTGAGTGCACCCGGCCGGCACCATGCTGGTCGTCACTTCTCTCTTGTCTTGCAGGAAGCACCCCGCTCCGGATCGTGCAGATTTTTGCATCAACAGTTGGCGCCGTCTGTGGGAAACGATTAGAAATAGTAAAGAACACGACCGACCATGCAGACTTAATGGGTCTCAGGAATAAAAGGAATATCCCATCATCTGCTAGCTTAGGTAAATAAGATAATACCCCTTGCCAGAGAACATGATTGGGTCATAAGCTATGACAAACTTTACTTTAATTTAAATTTGAGCGGTTGACTAGTCCCATGAGATGTTTCTGGTGTAAATCTATTATCTCTGTTGGAGTGCAACAGTCAAGCAAATGATCCTTGTTTATAATGAGCCAATATGATTGACCTAAGAAACTACTCGATCATATATAAAAGGAGTTTGAAGCTGCATTTTTATAAAAAGTTTTAAATAAAGTATCTATTGTCAATTGAATAGTTTGTAAATGCTTATAATGCAGGTAATCAATCATTCCCGTGCATGTGCCTTACCAGCGAAAAGTCTCTCAATGGGAATTTAAAATTAAAGGCTCCCACAAACATACTTACAATATAGCTGGCTTAAAAGGGCTGTTTGGATTTCCTGAACGAGCAGTGGATATAATGTTTAACAATATTGTTCCTGATATTGTCAGAGATCCAAGGGCTTCTAATATGTTATAGTCGACCATGCATCTGATTAAATGGTTGCAAGTAATTTTCGGAGTCCAACAAAACCACAAAAACTCTTATGCATAGTGATTTTACTGAAATGGTAACAGTGAGCAACAATGATTCAAGGTCTGATATTGGATCTTATTCTTCATTTGATCTGACGGCTATGAAGTCTCTGTGCTCTGCAAATTGATTTGGCACTGAGCAAAGGGTTTGTGAACATTGAATAGTGCACCATATGCAGAGGGTCCAACGACTATAACGGACAGTGCATTTACTGATTTAGTGATGCAGTATGTAAATTGAAATAATGGACAAGAGATTGCGCGGTGTGCTTTGATTGATACATACATTTAAAGACCAAGCTGTGTGCCAAGATAAAATTTCGGTGAGCTTTAGTTCTAGTGCCAATGAGTTTTAGTTCCAGTCCCGGTGAGCTTCAATTACCACCTTTTCTTGGTTTAACAAGAGTCTCAAAATCTGGCGAGCTTCTTTAAGAGATCCAATAGTACTGGTAGTCTTCGAACTGAATCTATTTGTACCAAACTGAAACTCCGTAAAAGACTAGATCGGGAAGCTCGATCAGTATCATCCCTCTAACATCTGTTCATTTCAAGCCCAAAGCCTAGATCAACAAAGAGGTATATATTTACTTATGTACATATAATGAGCACAACCGAGAGGTCTAAGAGCAACGAACAAGAAGAGGCACTATGAATTCTTCAGACAAAAAAAGACTATTTGCGTCATTTGGTCTAAAAAATGATTAGTGCAAACTTTTATCATCACTCTTAATCTGCAGAAGCTTGTATCCAAACTTAGTGTTTCCATTCACTCTTACTGAGTTTCTCATTCATATCTTTGAGCATGTGTCATTCAACCTGGTGAGGCTATCCAATATTTTTGAATGACGAATTGAGGCTGAACCGAAATCAGATGTTTTACTTGAGCCTTTTATTTACAAGATAGAATATCTTTTGATCTTTCAACCAGCATGTATGTTACCGGAGCAGTGGATTTTACGGACACCGGCATGATATATGCACTTGTGTAGTGCACTACAGACTTGGCTCTAGATTGCGATAATAGATGTTTCAAGCATAAAGTTTTCAAGCAAAGAAGGTACAAATTCTAGTTCCTCTCTTTGATTAATTTGTGATAACCAATGAGAAGCCATTTTAAGCTTCCACTCATAGAATCGTTTTTCCAACAGATAACGTGTATCTTCGATTTCCCTTATTGAATGGGCAGTCGAGTAAAATTTGGAACAATTACTACCCTTACTAAAGGAGGTTCTTCTTATTAAAGTGCCCCGTACTATAAGGGCCCAAGCTGAATGAAGCTCATAATTGTCGTCTCATGTATTAAAAGGGGTCAAAATCAAAGTGCCCTGTATTATAAGGGCCCGAGCTGAATGAAACTCATAATTGTCGTCCCCCGTATTAAAAGGGGTCGAAATCAAAGCGTCCCGTACTATAAAGGATCCGAGCTGAATGAAGCTCATAATTGTCATCCCCCGTATTAAAAAGGGGTAGAAATCAAAGTGCCCCGTACTATAAGGGTCCGAATTGAATAAAACTCGTAATTGTCGTCCCCCGTATTAAAAGGGGTCGAAATCAAAGTGTCATGTACTATATAAGGGCCCAAGCTAAAATAGAGCTCGTAACTATCATCCCCGTATTAAAAGGGTTGAAATCAAAATAGCCTGAGCTAAGTGAAGCTTGTAACTGTCCCCGTTTTATAAAGGACGAGTTGGGTGCATTCTGATAACTAACATTCTTCCCTCATTAAAGGGACGAGAGAACGACTACTCCCTCCATAGAGAAGACAATTATAGTTTCTTTCCTTTATAAAAGGACAAGATGACTACCTCCTTTATTAAAAGGGTGAGATTACCTTTCTCTTATTTAAGTGGTGAAAATCATCTCCCTTATTAAAGGAGGCGAGACAACTACTCCCTTGGTATAAGGGTGGAGATAACAGAGCCAGACCAAAGAATCTCAAGGAAAAAAAATGATGTGCTAAGGCCAAGGTCAAATCAGGCACACTACTTGAGTAATGCGCATTGGTTGGGGGCATAATATGATCTTCAAAATATATAAGTAAAACCCTTTACTACATTATATTTGCAATACCTTAATGCCTTTATTTTATTCTTTACATATTGTGCATTTACATACATATACGTGCATACAAATAAGAAAACTTTGTTTGAGAAAAAAAAAAGAAAAAAAAAAAAAGAAGTTCCCAGTACTGCTCGGAAACACACATCAACAAGTATTATCTTTGAAGCCCACAAAGAAATTGATTGAAAACATGGCTAAATTGCCACTACTATATCTCTCTATATTACTTTGAATTGTGCATATGCAAAAACACAACATTAAGGTTGAAAATAAAGCAAGGATGGAAACGACTCACATTCCCTAAGTTTGACAGGCAATTACGGGAATGAGGGGCAATTGATAAGGAATATTAGCCCAAGTAGAAGTCTAGCCGACACAACAGCCCAAGAAGTTTGGATACACTACACATAGATGGGATAAAATGACTTCTATGTGGAATAACTCTCCTAGTCCTTGGTGGAAAAGTAAAGGGAACCAATTCCCTAGGTGGATACTACTATCAAAACTCTCCTATAAAAGAAGAGGTCGCACAACTTAAAAGGTACGCCATAAATTCCATATTTAATCCTTTATAGGATATTCAATCGTTAAGTACTAACTTGGCTGTCGGAGTGCACCCGGTCGGCACCACGCCAGTCGTCACTTCTTTCTTGTCTTGCTAAGTGTTTTAAATAGATGGTTGATTACTTGGTCTATGGTTTTGCAACTGTTCCTTTCACATGTAACCATTGCTTGATATTGTTTTCATAAATAAAATTCTTCATTGAAGGATTGAATTTGTTTCTCTCATTTACCTTTGTTCAATTTTGTTTTATGTTTTGGAGAATCAACAATTCCAAATTTAAGGTAGTTTTTCTCCAATTCCACATTTAAGAAGTTGATTTAGTGCTTCCAAATTCAAAGCGATTTGAAGTTGGGTCTCCGAGGCTTTGATTTACTCCCATTCTGTGAGCATTTCTTTTGTTATAATTTATTTTATTTAATGTATAAAAGTTTACATATATATATATATATATATATATAAATCAGTCTACATTTGTGGTATTTGTTACTTCAACTGGAATAACTTCCAGTTAACAAAAAGAAAAAAACAAAAAATTACTATATGAAATTTAATTGATGATGTAAAGTCAATGACCAATGATTCACATGGAGGATGATAATTTTTTCTCTCCATCAATCTAGTGGATGGACTATGGACTACCTCTAATCACGCACATTCTGATCAAGCTTTTTCGATGGAGGACTTTTGGTGTTGTAGGAATCCATAAAATAGCGTACCTCCAAAAAAGCAATGGTGAAAAGGGGAGACAAAAAAAACATTTCAAACAGTACATACAAAAAAATGTTGTGAAGAACGTTCAAAGAAGAAAAATGAAAAATTAAGGTCATATCTAGACAAGAATTGCAACATATTTTTTGGTCACCACACACCCCCAAACATCAATAACATCTAATTAAAATCAAACAAATTGTAATGGGAAAAAGAATAATGTACAAAATTCTATGTTGGGCCATTGGAAATTGGCGCACCTCTCTTGATCCCATCCATGTGTGCAGTCTCATAAACAGGTCGACCACTTGAAAAATAACCCAAGTCATGGTTTTTCAACTCAAACAAATCAGAGCTTGAATCACTTTCTCCACCATCATCAACTCCATCAAACCTCTTGAACTCCTTCTCTTCTGATCCATATTTATCAGTAGAGATCATGTATTTTTCGGAAAACCCGTGACCGAAATTCTTCTGTTTCCCTGAAAATCCATTGCTTAACTTGAATTTGTTGTCATGATCCAACCAAGCATAGTCTCTGCTTCTCTTGTCACTACAGACCTCATTTTGTAAAGCAGTGTACTTAACATGTCCAATATTGTTGTATTTGGGCAAAGACACCACTTGCTTATGATCTGACACACTCCTCAAGTCCCTATAGGTCTTTGTAGGATCAGTGTAAGGAGGAGGCGTTCTGAAACCAGAGCTTGAGGATGAATGCATGGATTTTGAATCCGCAGTGGACGAGCTTTGAAAATGGCTAATGCTGCTTCTCCTCCTCCTCCTCCCAAACGGGCTCTCGAGATCTTCATCCTTCATGGACTGTGTGGTGGAATATGATGATTTCTTCTTCTTGGAAGATGTTTGGTTGAAGAGAGAATTGAGAAAGCTAGCGAGTTTAGCTCCGGGAGAGCTTGGTTGCTTGTACTTCTTTTCTTTGGTCATTTGCTTTTCCGTCATATGAGTTTGCGAAGGAAATGAGCTTCTCATTATCGGCATGTCCAAGCTAATTCTTCTTCCACCTCTCCAACCATGTCTGTGATCTTCTCTCATCATGATCTTCTGTGCAAAAGTGGCGTCCTTGTAGCCGGAGACTTCGTTGGCACCGGAGAAATAACGGGTGGCAGCAAAGACGTCGAGCTCACTGGAATCATTCCTCCGATGGAATGATTTCTTGTGGAGCTTCTCAGGCTCTGAAAGTCCTGCTATGGACATGGAGATAGATATAAAAAAAAATTGTGTTAAGTGATAAAGTTGTTTGAAAGTTGAGATAAAGCTAAGATTATGAGTGATATGCGTAGGGAGTGAAGCATAAACAAGGAAGCATGGTGAGATTTGTGAGGTTGTAGGGAGAATGGGGTTTTGAAATGCTTAAATAGTGGTTGGAAGCTCACTTTTATCATAATCCATTATGATGATGTCTACAACATTATATATATATACACATATAAGTACTGTATAGAATGATATATAAAAGGATAAAATGTTCTTTTCGGTAAGTGAACAAAAATTCTCTTATGTAATTGAACTTTTGCAACTAACTTTGATGAGCTAATTTTCGTGTCAACCCTACTAAACTACAATATAGTTAAATTAATTAGCCTTAGCTTTACTTGATGAAATGGTCACGCTTTTCAAAGGTGACGTTGATATTCAATTTGTAAGAATAATGTATCAGCTACTGTTCTGTGTCCCGATCTTACACAGTATATATAATACATTGATTATATAATATGTATGCAAAGTTGTAGTAAGCGTGTAAGTTCTCTCCTCTTTTTTTTTTTTGTGAATGTGTAAGCGTGTAAGTTAGTCTAAGAATAATGACCTTTTCTGATTACCATCTTACAGGTTAGTTTCAATGTGTTCATGAATGCAATAAGGATCTTAAAAGGATATTTTTGTCATTATTTGAGTACAGATAATCATGATTCGTAATCACGGTTTTGTTATGGTCGTGGTATAACGGACTCAACGAATATTGGTGTAAATTGACAAGTTTATTGAGGTATGTAATGATATCGAATCTTTGAAAAAAGGTTACGACCGGCCAATACCTCGTCTGGTACAACAAAGTATATGAATAATCTTAGATATATGAAATAACAAAAGACTTTTAAGGAGACAAACCATTTATTTGTCCATGATATAGTGTTGCTAGTTAATTCAAAGAAAAACTTCACAATAAAAATAGAAACTTGGAGAAAAAACATTAGCGTTGAAGGGCTTATAAAATTAAATTCTTAAGAGAAACAATTTATGATATAACAGAATTAAACGTAAAAAAATAATTTATACAACTGATTTTATTCATATGGAATAAAGACAACGATAATAATGACAATAATATGACGATAATTGTTCTTAATAGACTTTTGGAGGTTTTTGGGAGTGTTGACCCACATATATTTGGAGGTTTCCGGAGACAACCCAATTAATAATGGTAGCGTGAGCTTTAGTTTGTAGAAGATGGAGTGAGGGGGATAGAAAGAAACAAGCTTTATATCCATAACTGTGCTTCATTGGATTCTCTACTTCTTACACTGTTTTAGTGGGGATAATAAACTTTCAAGTGGTGTACCATGCCACTGACAAAAAAAATAAAAAATAAAATAAAATTGTACTATTGCTTAGCTTTATGTGAATATAATTATAGTTTGGATACTCTACCTTCTTTTGGAATTCTATCATTATCCAAATAGAAACTTTAATAAATTGGGAGGTAAGTTAGTGCTAAGATATTTTTGACTTGCATTATTGCATAAGACTAGGTTGTACAATTTTGGTGAATGGTCCACTTAACTTCCAATATAATGAATTAAATATTTAATCAACTTTTTTTTTTTTTTAGTTAACTCATAGTGTCCGGGATGGCACGAACTCTTAACGTCTCTCAACAACCCGACTAATCCCCGAGAACCGGAAGGGCACCTCCCCACCCGGATCAGGTAAGTCACTGCAGGAGTAGTGGAGGCTAGTCACAAGGAACACTCAGTGGGACTCGAACCCCAAACCTTAGACTTACTAAACTCTAAAGTCCAGCGAGTAAATCATTGGGCCATATCCGAAGTGAATATATTTAATCAACTTGAATAAGTTAAATTTAAGTACAAAATACATAAATAAATAAATAATCAGGGCAAATTTGGTGTGCTTTTCAAAATAGAGTTGCTTGAAATATGATTTATAAAATTTTGAAAACTTTTTAGAACATACTGTCTACAATAATTTTAGTATATATCTCTGTAGGAGGAAATCTAGGGAAAAAAATACTATATAAAATATTTAGACGAAGAAAAATTCTCGGGGAGGAGCCACGCAATTATTTTATAAAAAAAGGGTAAAGTGCAAAAAAATCCCCTGCTTTATTAAAAAATGAAACACCTCCACTTTTTAAAAAATGTGTATAAATTCATGTATTTTGAAAATTTATATCAAATTGTTCCTTGATCAACAATTTTGACCAAAAATAGGGTACTGCATGTAATTGGAGTTTTGGAATTGGAATTGATAGAATTGAAGAAAATTTTAGTTCAATTTTGTGAGTTATTATTTTCCAATTCCACCAATTTCATTTCCATACAACTGAACATAGCCTTAAGGGAATTTATGTATTTCTCTTCTTTTTTTCTAATAAATAAAAATATTTCTAAATTAAAATAAAGAACATTAAATAAAAAAATAAGATTTAAAAATAAATAAATATTTTTTTTGAGGAGCGGGGGCGGGGGTTATAAAATTAAAAAAAAATTCATTTATTTATTTATAAATTTTTTTTTGTCTTAAGGGTAGTTTAGATATTTCAATCTTCAAATTGAAGATTGCCCTTATTTGCTTAATTTAAAAAATGTAAGAGATTTTTTTTGATTAAAAAATTTTATTTTGTCTTAAGAGTATTTGCCAATTTTCTATATATTACACCGTAGTTTCTTACAAAAAAAAAAAAAAAAAAAAAAAAAAAAAAGACTCAATTACTATTTAGAAATGAAGGTGAAATTTTTTTTTTTCTTTACTCATTTGAAAATTTAAACCCTCATAATTAATTTTAAAAGATCAAAAAAAAATATCACTTAATCACAAAATCTTTAGTCCAAAATGAAAGGAAAGAGTAATTGTTTTAGCAATATTACAAAAGTGGATTACGAACGTCATTTGAAAATATTGCCTACCTACGTTGCCTTTTCACATCCTCCCTATCCTATAAGGAATAACAATAATTGTGAGAAGACAAACAAAAAAGGAAAAATGACAAGGACTAACATCAAACGTGGTATTTGATAATTAAAGGTGCACTGATATAATGGGTGGATACTTATTTCCTTAAAAATCTATGTAACATTTTTTTCATCCAAATTTACTGTCGGGCCACCCTGTCTATTTGGAGTGGTTCACCCGGACGTTTTTCTGATTGGGCACTTGCCGTAGCACCGAATCAAAGATTGAGTCTTATTTTAATATTAACTATAACGAGTAGGCGCTTACTCATTTATCCAAAATCTTAAACTGTTGGGTAGTATTACATATTCAATCATTCTCTTATTTAGATCAATGTGCGACAAATATCCCCTTGTAACTACTAACCATACAAATTTCACATTTTGTATAATTTGTCTATGTTTAGTTCTTTCCTTATCCCAACCCTATAATAATTATAATTTGTCACAATTTAAAAAAATAAAAAATAAAAAAATAGTTAAAACAAATACCCACACTCATATTATAACTATTCAGTATTCAAGGAAAAAAAAAAAAAAAAATCATAAATAGCAATAACTCAATTATAAACATCAGCACCTCTAATCATCAATAGGCACAAGTTCAATTATATGCATGATGAATTGGATCGATTTAAAACCTCTAATCATCAATAGGCACAAGTTCAATTATATGCATGAGAATCAGATCGATTTAAATCGGATTTTTTCTCCTCATGTTGAATGATCTGATCCAGTCAGACCAATTTTATTAAAATTTCAATCAATATCCAAAGTGATCTATTTTAAAAATCAGACCAATTTTCATGTGAAATAAATAATAATAATAATAATAATAATAAAGGTTAATTGTTGTAAACTCGATTGAATATTATTGTAATAATTCGTGTTATATTCTCGAATTAAATAATGTTAACAACTTAGAATCTGCACGACTGTTGTGTCTTTCATGTAGCATTTTGCATACATGAATTGAAAATTCGGTGCAATGAGGTTGGTCCATCAACACTTCAACAGTAGTACTCCTAACCAATGATTGTATTTAGGACGCGTGTGAGACCACACGTGCATGCCCGGACCAATAGAAAACACGTGTGACATGCGAGAAGTCAATTTTATGCCCACATCTCATGTGTTTCACTTGGAAGATTTTATCTCCAGTGATGTGATCAGGACAGATCACAGACCACTTGGCCGTAGCGTCCAAAACTTTTTTCCAAATATCACCAGATTCATTGCACACAGTAGTACATCACAACTAAATCAACTTTATCCACTTTTATAAAAGGGTAAAAGCCTATATACTAGATACGCAAATATTTTTTTGGTGTTCAAAATATTTTTTTATATTTTTTAAATTAAGTAAATATGGATAATTTTTTAATTTGAAACTGAAATACCTAAAATGCTCTTAAGAAAAATAAAAACAAAAATTATAAAATAAAAGATAATAATATATATTTTTGGAGTATATATTTTTAAAATGCCATTATTTTTATTTTTTAAAATTTTAATTTAATTTAATATATTTTTAATTTATTTTATTTTAATTTTTAATTTATTAAAAAAATACTTAAAATTCCGTTAAAAGTATTTTGGTTTTTTTAAAAAAATTGATCAAAATTGTTGACAAGGAGGAATTTCTTACAAAATTTCAAAATACAAGAATTTATATGCACTTTATAAAAACTGGGGGTGTTTTTTAATACATTTTTTTTTATGTGGCAAGGGGTTTGTGTTTTTTTTTTTTTTGTTCACTCCAACCTTTATAAAATTAGATAAACTTCTTTCAACCAAATCAATTTATACCAAAGATGAACTAGTCCAATTTGATTTGAGGAACTCGATTTTCTTTAAAACTCAGCCTCAGCCTCAACATCAAGATTTGGTTATATTTTTAATCTAGATTTCTAATTCCCATGCACTCAATTTTCATCATTCATGATCTATACCGAAAAAAAAAAAAATCCCCGAAATTGTGAGAATTTGATAGAAATGAAAACTTGAAAGCATGTATATATATATATATATATATACATATTTATGTATTAAGGTTCGGTTTAATTAATTCATTTTTTAGACCATAAAACAAAATCAGACAGATTTTTTTTACTCCAATATTTTTGTTAATAAATCATAACCGCATCGAACCAAAGAACCGAATCGAAGCATTAATTCTCAAAGCTCAAACTAGACTATAGTGTTTAGATTGCCATT